GTGTCCTCGAGGGCCAGGCCCAAACTTTCCTCCTTCCCTCCCACCCAAGTGCGTGCTGTTATGCCAGGTAACGCCTTACAAAGCTGTGTTCATTTACAACAAGGATCTGCAACTTTTCTTGACTCACAGATATCTTTCTGCTATTGATCATAACACTCTAGGTGGAGTCCTTCACTGAAGCAATTGGGTATTGCTGGTGCTCTGTGAGTTCTCGCAGGCTGAAGAACCGGCCCTTCGAAACAAGGCAGGGAGGCTCGTGAGAATGAACACTGCATTCCAAAAGTTATCAAAAATGTGCAATGCGGTGTTTTGAAAATGCAAGGAAAACAACGCTGAAAATTGTGGGTGGTCCGACGAATGAATGTTAGCTTTTTAAAGGTAGTGAATTCCTGAAGTATGCTTGTAGCTGTGAAATCATCCTTGGTATTGACATTGAAAGAAACTTGGGTCTGTAGTCTAACTGCCCTTGCAGCAAATACATCAGGGAAAGTGAGTAACAGCAATAAGCTTCGTGGTGATCTGCAGAAATTTGCAAGAAATCTTCATTCACTCATAAACCGAATGCGAATACTGTTTAGGACTGTGTTTTCAAACATTTATTCCTTTCTAAGTGCAGTTTATTGTCAACAAAGGCAACACAAAGCATTTCTGCATACAGAAAATAATGCCAGTGTCAGGAACTGTTTGATTTAAAGTTCTAAAACACAATCACTAGCTGAATGAGAATGAGGAAAAACACGGTTATGCTAGGAAAATGTTATTGTCTCATAGTTCTGTCTTGAGTAAGTCTAGTTGAGAATAGAAAGAAAATGAACGCACATATTTTTCAAAGCACAAACATTCCCCACTGGGATCATTGTGTTTTATCCTATGGCATGTTAGCAAAAAGCTGGGAGTAGCTCCATTTGTCAGGCAATTGTGCCTCGTCACCACTCCCAGGAAGTTTGAGACACTCTGAAATGAAATACCCACGTTTCGTTCAGTCCCCACCCCTCTGCTTTTCTCCTTTTGCTTCTTTGTACTGAACGTGTCTTCAAACAATGCTGAAGACGATTTGCCCAACTGTGAATGATAACGATAATCCGTCAGTAACCCCCATACACAACCTGATATTCAAGTCTCAGGATCCTGAAAAAATTACAAAAAGAAAAAGAAAAGGCAAGTGCTGTTCACTGCGAGGCAGCTCCTGAGCAGCTGCCTGCGAAGCTGAGCACCGGCGCTGCTTACTCATGCCACAGCCCAATCCTGCAGGGCACTGTGCACACCCGCTGACTGCTGATCACCCCTGCCTTCATCAGGATTTCAGGTCCTAAAGCCTTCTCCAAGAAGTATCCAGCACCTCCTAAGACTAGGCCCTTAGTGCATAAGTCTAAGCATTTTCTTTCATAGCTGTCACTGTATAAATATTATTAGGACGTACCCTCAGCTGGAGCGAAATGTCCTTGCTCTGTTGACTCCACTGCAAGGAGACCAGTTTATGCTAGCTGACTATCTGGGCCATTATTTATGATAAGCTTATGGTTGCCGACTAAGATTCTGGGACATCAAGATCTTCAGCTAAGAAAAATCAGTATAACTTCATTGACTCAGAGAGTTACACCACTTTACACTGCTCTGTGGGGTGGAATACAGAGAGTGGCCAAATTCTGGATTCCTTACTCTTTTTTAAGTCTGACAAAACTCCTACTGAAGTTGGAGTTTACCCTCCTTGCATGCATATTGCTTATACCTTTTCCTCTTATATCAGGCTTATACTAAAAGTAGGCAGCCACTTTCCCAAGAGAAACCCCCTTTAAGCTGGCAAATAATTTTTTAGGGTCCCAACCAGCCGCATTGCATTATCTGTCCAGTCCTTTGAATTCATTCTCCTGTCTTTCTGTAACCTAAAAAACACAACACAATACAACACAACACCTTTTCTTCTGATGCTAGCATTTTCAAGTTAAGTAATCATTACTTAATGTATTTTAAACTCCTCTGTCTGGAAGCAGCCAGCCTGTCATGCAATGTTATTTCCTGTGTTTTGGGTTTCTTTCTTTCTTTCTTTCTTTCTTTCTTTCTTTTAAGGAAGCTGCAGAACTCAGGCTCATCCTTCTACAGTATTTCTTTAATGCAGGTTTGTCAATAATCAGGATTAAAATCAATGCTGCTGCTTCTCGTTTCTGTGCGAGTGGCTGTTCTTTGCATTCTTTTGCTTCGAAGCATGAGACATCATGTTGCTGTTTGCTCCGAAGTAGCAATGCCTGTTTGTTAAACTTTGAGGCAAAAACTTCTCCATAGGCAGAAATACTGACCTTAATTTCAAAAACTCCATAGTGGAGATTGATATAAAGGAAAAGGGAATTAGTTGCCCAACAGAAATAAGGCAACATTTTCGACTGATTTCCCTGACTCATTCTAACCTTCAGATCACCTTCAGGATAATGTAGCATGAGCATTGTTCCCCTACATCTCATTATAGATCAGAAGTGAATGTTACCAGAATGTGTTTCAAATAAAAACAATGTATTTTGTTTCAGAAAGATTTCCGTAGGTGCTTATAAGTGTCTATGTGAAAGTAAACTTTTTTCTGATATGAATATCCTGGTTCTTAAGGTAATCAATATGTATTATTAAAATGATTGTATCCTGCAGAGGTTTGGATTGCTTGAATTTAAATATGCAATGAATAAACCAAATTCTATCACTGCTTGATTATAAACCAACAGTATGTTTTGCATACTGGATGAAAGGATTTAAAATAATCTACGCATCAATGTATTTAATGAGAAAGAATTTTATTGCGAAGTTAAATAAGCCCCTTCTTACTTGTTTTTCAACACCATTATCTTGTTTTCAGAACATTAAAAGGGTAATAACATTTCCCAAGCACCTCTGTTAACCGTATGTTTTCTTTTACAGTAAGTTGTCCATATGTATACAAACATGTTCTGCTTTGCCTCCTCCCCAGTCTTTACTTAACAGGGAAGGAACAGTAATAAAGCAGATCATAGCATATCTTTTTTGCCTAAAAAGAAACAAAATGCAATGCCATAATAGACTGTTTAAATTCAAAATAATGTCTTTCTCCTACAGAGAAAACTTTTGCCAAAATTAATGGAACATATTTAGAATCCATAATTGCTTCAATTATAATGCAACCTTTTCTCTATGCTTGTCATGTTAAACTCCAGGGAGGTTTAACGGTGCATCTAACAGCCTATGTTTGCAAATACGTTTCAGGAGATACCTGGGATAATTCTGACTTCTCTTTGCCACTGACTGCAATGCTGCAGTCCTATGACAGCATCATATTAATGAGCCCGTGGAGGTCCGATGTTCCATGTGGTTTGCAAAGTTTAACCCTGTCCCTCAGACTTCCCTTACTGTCCACGTTGAAGCCACAGCAGCATCAAAAATGGGAATTGCATATGTCCCAGTTTCAAGGCAAGAAGGCAATTTTGGGAAAGGACTTTGCCTGTTAACAAGATCACCTACTTGAAAATTCACAGATTGCTGCACAAGCAGACACACATATTCAGCACCTTTCCGAATGAGGAGTTAAAATCTACCAGCCTCAGCATTCCTTCCCTTTGCTAGGGGAGCAGTAGCAGTGCTTTTTCTAGCACCAGCAGGGGTTTTTTTTCTTTTTTTTTTTTTCCTTTACAGTTTACTAATCAATTGCCCATGTAGCTGTAATCCATCCAAGAGAAGTTCAAAGTCTGGATGTTAGCTAGTCACTGTAATGCAACCCATAGGAAGTATGTTGTACCATGTAAACATAATGCTTAGCAAGGTTTCGAAGAAGGAGAACTTATTTCTGAGCAATGCACCAAGCATTAGGTTAAAATGTCAGGGTCAGAGGAAAACAGAAGAAGAGAGGGAGAGAAAGAAGAATCAAGGCAGAGGATTATGGATGCCAGGGGATCTTTTAAACTCTTGTTTACTGCCTGGCTGTTCTAGCACTGCAACGGCCTCACGGCAAAACGCAGCCAGCCTCCCTCTGCAGAGTCCCCCTTCCTGCGCTTGTCCTCTACCCCAGGCGGGGGGGAGCGGTTGCAGGGAGCTCTCGTTGCCGCAAAGCCACCCGGCGAACCCGCCCCGCTCCCCTTCTCAGGCACTTTTGACCTTCAAATGTCAGGCCCTGCTGGGGGAAGGGGAGGGTGGCGGGGTGCTTGTTCGCTCCCCCCGGCCCCCTGCTCGCCCCGAGCCCCCCGGGGCTGCCCG